AATAAACGAGAACCGTCAGCAAGTGCTGCTTCAATAGCTTATGTGTGACTAACACCTCCAAATGCAAGAAAATCTATCAGATGTCATAGAGACACCCATGTTCCCGCCACTGGCACCAGATAGATCTCGTCATCACAGTGCGTGCGGAACTGAACATTGTTCTCCATACCCGCAGCTTCCATAGCACCGGTTGCGACCCATACCACTCCCTCTTGACCGGTAAGGTGCGAATAATACCAACAAACTGCACAACGCCAAGAAGAAGAGCCGAAAACGCACAAACACCTGCTGTGCAAATAACCTAGAGAAAACACAACAGTTCTAAAGCAAGCTGAGAAAGCTATCACCAAAGAGACACCTGATGACACCATCGATTTCACGTGGTCTCACATCCGAGATGCTGTGTATATTTCAGCCATCATTGGCTACGGGAAGAAGTGCAAATGTCGACTGGTATGAGGAAAACTGTGAGATGGAGCCCGTGACTGAAACGAAGAGGGAAGACGAAGAGGGAAGCCCTCCTGACTTACAAGACTGTGACTAGCCTTAATACACCGCAAGCGTCATGGACTTCCAGGAACAACGTCGAGCGGACCAACCGAAGACTTCGCTAAAACCTGCTGATGAAACTGTGCACAAATATTCAGACAACTGCCAACACCGGCAATGCGAGAGATATATACGAAGATATCAAGAAGAAGACAGTCCCCCAGTCTACAAGAACTCTCTCATAATGACTATGATGGGCGATGTCATCACATACTAGGGAAAAGTGCTGCAGCTGGGTTGAGCATTATCTCAAGCTGTCTTGCAACTCTAAACGTCATCACCCACACAGCCCTGACTCCATTTCATACCTGCCAATCTTGGAGGAACTAGACACACCGCCCACCCTGAAAGAGTCCAAAAAAGCCATCGACTGCCTTGCTTGTGGGAAGACCACTGGGAGCGACAACATCCCACCTGAATTCTTCAAGAACGGAAAACCAGCGCTACTCCAGCTCTTGCACGAACTTCTATTCCTCTGCCGAGAGCAGTGACAAATCCCCCAGGACATGCCAGACAACTGCATTGTCACTTTGTACAAGAACAAAAGAGATCGTAGCGGCTGCAACAACTACTGGGGAATCTCCCTCTTCATCGTCGGAAAGGCTTTCACCCGTGTCGCGTTGATGCGCTTACATACCTTAAACCCTGTGTCTAACCATCCCAGTTTGGCTTCTGAGCGAGACGGTCAACAACTGTAGACATGATCTTCTCACTACGCAGCTGTATGAGAAGTGTCGTGAATAGTAGATGCCCCTCTACATCGCCGTCATAGACCTGACGAAGGCTTTTTACCTAGTCAGCCGAAGCGGAATCTTCAGGCTCCTGGAGAAGATCGGGAGCCCATCTACCCCCGAATGCTCGCTGTCGCCACATCGGTCATTAAGAACATTCATAGCTCAATGTGCTTCAACGGTGTAACATCGGAGGCCTTCACAGTCAGCAGTGGAGTGAAGTATAATCATGGCATGGATCAATTGATCTCTACTTGAGCATAATAATGACTTGTGTCAACTGTTCAGAACTTTGAATTGCTCACCTTTTATGCATCATGTACATGTATATACTACGTTCTTGATACAAATGATAGACCTTTCAGTGCCCCAAACGCTGACCGTGCAAAGTTTGGAATTTTAGTTTTCTTAAACCAGTTTTCATATTTGATGGTCAGTCGCCACTTTTATTTATTTTATGAATACGATTTAAGACTAATCAAACACAAGAAGAAAACTAATAATATTTGACACGTCTGAGAATAGATGCAGAAGAATATTTTGTATCATCACAATTGACATGGATGTGAAAATTTAATTTTATCAATACGCTATGCAGTCAGTCTAGTCTAAATATATAGTATTTTGTTTGTAATCTTTTATAGTATCATTTGTAGTCCGTATTTATTAGTATTAAATAGAAAGCATGGGAACATCGTGTCGTTATAATAAAACATATAAACATATATCTCAGGGTGTAACAAATGTATATCGTACATATGCATGCAGCTAAGGACAAAAATGCAAAGAAGAGAGCAAGGAAGAACGAGAGAAAAGTTTTCGAAAAGTCCGACACCGAGGCAGAAATAGCCGCAGAACTGAATGATATGAGGAACCTGTAGGAAAGACCCAAGACTCTGAGATGTGGCTATGGAACAATCCAAGCTGTACCTATATGTACAGATGGAAAGATAATCTAGTCAGAATAAGAGAAGATAAAAAGATGGAAATAACATTAGTAGACCATCCTAAGTAGACTAAAACCCCATCAAGCAGCCTATATATCACTGGCCAAACAAAAATCTGAGAGAAAAGGCCGTAAGCAGAAACGAATTCCACTTACATATATAATGAATAGGCATTTCGTGCGCACAATGATTGATAGAGGACCAAAGGTATGTTAAAATGTAATCCCAGAAACAAACTAAAGAAACAAAGTTTTAAAAATACAATACTACTGCTATCTAATCAGTTGGGATATCGATGATCGTGTCAAATTATAAGCACGGTCATCCAAATAATGCAGAACATGCGGAGTATCGTCATTTATATATAAGTGTACATTAACTTAATGTGGGGCCTTTGAATGAAGAAATAATTTATTCCACCAGATTAAAACTCATCCAGACAAATTAAAAAGTTTAAAAATATATATAACTTTTGTACTAGTCTGGTAGCTTTGAACATCCCGGTTTCCTAATCTAGTAACAGTTCACTGACATTATGTATCGATCTATAGTACCACCATGACCGTAAAACATGTACCACCTGCGACGACATGACCGTAGGCTCTGACGTTATATCCTACACTATGAATATATCGAGAAGTGGTCCGTCATGGTCTTAATTTCATGTCCATAAATGTGTAGGAGATGAAAATTCATTAAGTGAGATCAAACACATATTGATGTGTTTAAAGTAAATATCAAATAGCATACAAAGTTTTGAATTGTATGAAGGCAAGCATGATAGCGTTAAATTGCATGGGACTTAGAGCTACCCGATTATGTGTTGCGGGAATTTGGTTCTTCGGGTTTTAGTGTATATTGTGCAGCATTGATAGAGTTTGTTTCAAAGTGTCAAATAGTATTGACTACGTGATAAGTAAAATTTATAAGTGACAATTGACTCTACAATAAAGATTTTAATTCATCAACAACGGGTACAACGGCTTCAAAGTGAAAATGTGCAGCAAAAAAGAAGTTAAACAACAGAGAAAGCTAAGATGTAAGAGAATCAGTGAATATAGCCATAAATAAAACGAAACAGAAATGAGACGAGAGGAACTTAAAAATAAAGAATAATACCATTAACGTAAGAGAATCCTATAATAAAGGATCATGAAACTACGATAAAGATGGAAAAAGTAGAAAAACATATTTAAAAATTATAAGATGTTTCGTTTTTTGGCTAATTTTGAAGAAACAAAAATAGATTTATTTTTGCAATGGACACGCTTTCCTGAAAAAGAAGTGTATTTTATAAATGAATTGATAAAAAAAATGGACAACTCAAACTTTCATTGGAGAGGCTCGTGAAATTACAACAAAGCTGGAAAAAGTAGAAACGAAAACTTTAGTTATAAGATGTTTCGTTTATGTAGCTAATTTTGAACACACCAACGTACTTATTTTTGCAACAGACAAGCATCCTGATAAACAGTAATTGTTACTACATTAACCAAAACAACGAAATAATAATTTTTCTAAATTAAAATATGGATTGGATTAGATACAGTTTATATAATTATATCAAACTTATCATAAACACAAACATTACTATGATGGCATATTATATTTTTCCTGGGTCTATAGCGGTTGAAATGTTTTCATTGCGACTTTGCTTCAGGCGAAATTAATGGTCATTTGCACGGCATGCAGAGGTGTACAAATAACAGACTGAATAGATGATCAAATACAAAGATGGAACGATGCAGACGTTCGTGGTATACCTATATTACATGATGCTAATGAAACTGAATAAAAAAAACATTCTTAAGATTTTCTTCTGAGCTCGTTTTACTTTTAAATATTGCCAGAAAGAAAGACAGAGAGAGACTCCAAAATAGATTAAACAATTAGCAGGGAATCAAAGCGTAACAATAACTAAAATCCCTGTACAAAACTGTGTTGAAGTTAATATATGTTTTCTTTTGCTCTCTACGAAGTAGATTTTATATTAGATTTGACAAAAAGGATGGAAGAATATTTCAGTTGGCAATCATAGATAGAACAGTTACAGGGCGATTTGAAAAATAAGATCCACTAAAATGAACAAGAAATTGAAAGATAAAGATTTGAACACAAAATATTACTAGCATAATTATTGCTATAACTAATCGATAGATTTTCAAAATAAATAATGATTTAATGGAGATGACCAAACAATTAATCGATGATACAAAGGTGAGTTTAGAGAAAAAAAAAACTTTATGAATGTTGAATTGTCGAAGTCTACTCGGATGCTACCGGTCAGTTCATAATGCTGAATATCCAGTTTTTATTGAAAGTTTCAATATAAACAAAAATATCAGCAGCAGGAGCAATCAGTTAAACAGCAACAATAGATAAATGTCTAGCATTTGCAGGACTCAAGTTTTATAATATAGTTTTGTTTATCCTAATGGAGCTGAGGTAGCACAATTAGCTATGACATTTTAAGGAAAGAACTAAAGACACGATGAAAAGAGTTATATAGAAACAGAGCAAAGTGTTTTTAAGTATTTGTGATTTTGATTTTTAACGTAGCTTTAACAATCTTTAAGTCATATCGCTACAATGTCTTCGGTGTGGCAGTTTATAATAATGTTTAACATTTGGGCATCATAATGCAGACATGTAGTATCATGTCCCACCCAGTCATATTATCCCGACACCAAGTTGACCGTTCCTGACACTAACACTAACTTCTTATTGATGAGTACCTAACGAGGCAGCTGCTATTACCATCTTTTTTAGGTCTTTTTTATGATGCGTCCGGAGTTTGAACCCGCGACCTCCCGCATCTGAGGAGGACGCTCTAACCACGTAGGCCACAGGAGCAGTCAGAGCAAAGAGAATGGGTTACTTGACGGAATGATTGAGAGAACAAAGTTTAGTGCCACAGATACCAACTCTAATAAACTTCTTCACCCCAAAAGTAGAGCAAACAAAAGATCAAGTCAGCATAAACTTAATGATATATGTCAACCTTCTACTGATCTATTAAAATATGAGTCTATGTTTATTTGAAAAAAACCTCATGGATACTCTGTTGAGTGACTTATTGTGGAAAGCCAATTTTCCATTGAGGCTACATACAGAAGCTTTCTTTTCATCTGTGTCCTTTTTAAATGAATACAGTTTTGACCTTAACGGGAATGAAATTGAGTTTACCTTGAAAAGTCCAGGAACGTTTTTGCTGTTGTGTGGTAAACTTATCTATTCTCCGTTGGATAAACACTGCTATCATAGAACTGGATTTTATCTGTCATTCATGTACAATGCAGCCTGTTTCAATAACCATGTCCAGTTTTGTTGACTCTACCGATCTGATATTAAAATATATTTATTACTAAAATATCTTACAGAGAATATCTCATGTTAGATTGTAAACTGGCCTGGGCTTTACCGTGTACGTAACGATGCTGATTAAAGTTCATAATACCAAATCAGTCTTTTATATCTTAACAAGTAGTTTTTAAATGCACGTAGGAGGTCTAATAATGCAGGCACATCACAAGCAAGATCAATTTGTGAAATGGCTGGTTTTCACCTATCAAAACCGAACAAAGACTTGATTTCAGATACTTAAGTCAGAAGACGTGTTTGTTCATGCATATGATCTATTAATTCTGGTTTTAGATTATGGCATTATGTCAGAGTCCATGCTAACAATTACTCTAAAATTGATCTAGGTGGGAAAGGCTTGACAAGCATTATCCAAGTAACAACTAATTATTATTGTAAAGGTTAACTCTATTCGTGATAATTTTAGACGTTCGCGCTTTATTCACACACGAAACTGTTGAAAGCAAATTAAAAATATTTTGTGCTACTGTTAATTTGATACAGTCTTCAATACCATTAAAAAAATAATCCCTCTGTCGTAAAACTTTGCTAGAGTCTAAAAACTTGCTTGCTGAAACGAAATTTGTCCAATCAAAAGTCTGCATTAGAAGATTTCGAGAAGAATTTCCAAAACTGGATTAACATTTACTTCTCGAAATGGTATGTCAAGTTTCATGGTGGAAGGGTCTGGTTTATGGAAAACAAAAGGTAGTACAGAAATGAAAGTTTTAATCTGAAGTATCAGATATTCGATGATACATAGCACGACGTAATTTTCACTGCAACTGAATCTTAATTATCAAATTTATAATAAAATAATACAGGCACTTGCATGTTTTAGGAGTTCTTGTCAAGAGTCAATAATGACGATGGTGAATTTATGGTTAAGAGTAATGGTAAGCTACTGGCAAGTTTTCTCACATACCCTCGCTGCCGAAGACTCGAACACAAACAGGCAGTGGTGAAATGGCAATGATCTGTCATGGTGAGAGTTTTAGACGACTCTGCCACCAGGGGCAAACGAGGCCCAAATCTAAAAATAATTATGATACTAAGGTATAATGTCAGCATTTATGGGTCTTTTTGAACTGCATTTCAGCCTAGACATTGTTTGGTGTGTAACTAGCAAATAATTAAAAGAAATTCATATATGATAGGTTTTATAATGAATTTTCTGCATTATTGTGGATTTATATATAAATTATGATGTGACTACTGTACAGGTATAAATGAACAGCGACACTTAATGTAGAAATAATGTTTATGCCATGAAAGCAATCGCGTACGCGCAGTGCAAAAAATTATATTCAAACACTGCTAAATTAGATATCATCACCAAAGTTGGAAAAGGAAAGTAATAGAAGAAGTTACCTAATGAATGCGATATATAAATCAAATTAGTTACACCATCACATGTATTGTACGAATTCACTCGTCAATTATGGAGATTGTTCAACTATGGTTTCATAGTATGACACCATTCACTGGACATATTCCAGTCGTGTTTGCAACTGCACTGGATTGTGTATCTGTCATTTACATTTCTTTAATGAAATTGATATCTTCAGAATTTTCAAATCACGCATATGTCTTTCTATATGACTCATTCTCTCTGTTATTTAAAGCATATCCCAGCGATAACATTGTTAATCACATTGTACTAAGTAGAATTCCCAGCTTTACGTCTACACTCTTATGCCAGAAAATGTATCGATTTCACAAATAGTAAACAAATCAATTAATGAATAACATTATGTTAGTTAACATTAGTGCCATAGCGTAAATGATAGTTGATATAGAAAAGCAATTTAGTCATTAGTAGCATCAATGTAAATGAAATTAGTTTCTGTTCTAAAACATGATCCAATATTGACATGTCTGTGCATGATAAAAAGTGCATCCGCTTCACATCGATTCACTTTCATTTACATTTTAATTCCGATAGAAGTTCGATGACTTTGCATCTCTTTTGCGTATCCGATAGTTTTATTACAGTGTAATGAATCTCACAGCATGCTGTAATAGGCAAGTAATTGGTTCATGGCATTGTAATCCAATCGATATCGCGATATAATCATCGTATATCAATTACTTTGGACTACACGCTCTGCGAGAGCGCAATAAATTTAGATACACGACTTCCTCTCATTACTCTTGATTCTAAATGAATATGATTTAACAAGCACACATTCCAAAATTAAGTTTTAAATATTACCATCACTGAAGGAGCAGATTCAGCTTTTAAATATGCTCTCAAATCAGGTAAATTTGCAGATGTTTTTAATCGTACGTAAACATTTTATTGCATTCACTGCATGCGAAAAATACCCAAAATTTATTGTATATTTTAATTATTTCAATCAAAGCAAATTAGAAATCAATGGTAAAATATAAGATGGTCATGTCTCAAAGATAAGAGAGCAATCCGTTCACTTGAGAGTCATTTTTCCTTTGCATGTCGTGTTTCCGTAATTTTGCCTGGTTTTCTCGAAGACAAGCTTTTTGTATCGAGCTTTCTGTAGTCTACGTACGTGGCGTCACGTGACCTGTGAGGTTTTAAACCAAGAGGTTTCGATGACCTGCCTTTGGAGATTCCCTGAAATGAATTTACAACATTTCAGTGCTTAAAATAAAACCAAATGTCATGGTTGACAACTCAATTATAGAAACTTTACTTTGTAAATTTTATGAAACTGACCTTTACTGAATATGTCAGTCATTCTCATTTACTGTTTGAAAATTATGATCTTAATGTTTACTGGTCAATGCAAATTGTGTGCTTTTAAATCATGCAAAATTATTTTTTACACTTGTATCCTTGCCAAAAATACAATAACGTTACTTACCTCCACTGAGAGTTATAAATAGAGGCGAGAAAGTAAATGCCTATTAAAAACTGCATGTTTTCAAAGATACAGTTAAGAAGTATCATTATAATCCACAAGTAAGATTTCCTAATTTAACTGTGTATTTATAATTCAATAGAGTATATCGACACCATTTATTTCTCTGGAGAATTTTTACTAAACATTAATGTTGGAGACTTTTTGTCTGTTTTCCTGTTTGCTGTGACAATTCAGAGTAAGTTATATATAACTCCTGTATGTCGATATCAACATTAATGTTGAAATTACGAAGCTAAAAACAACCATAGTAAAAAAACCCAAAAGTTGTGTCATTCCTTCATTTTAAAAGTTTATACACTTACCGATGTTGGATAAATATCTGGAAGATGTCTTTTTGTGTATCCCGTGGAAGGTAACTTTGGAATGTCGTTGAGTCGAAATTTATTTTCACGATGAGAAGATGAAATAGCGCTTTCGTGACATTTATTTGAAAGATGCCTGTCAGTTTTGTCTCTAGCAGTTAGATTTTCACACATAATACCGTTCCAAGCTTTTTTCTTTTCTTCATAGTCCATATTTGGTGACTTTTGGTACGATGTAGGCTCTGAATGAAACATATTTTGCACAAAAGCATCACCCCAACGGATCATTTCCGGTTTAGAATATGTATTAAGTCTTTCGTCCCGCCTTTGTTTATATAACTGATAAGAACGGACGAAAGTTGAATAGTCAATTAGATGTTTTGACTTTCTTTGAAAAGTTTCTTTTTTTGAAGAAGGTTCATTTTTGCGTGCCACTTCACGCATATTCTGTACATGTTTTGCTGATCTGTTATCTAAAGTTTTGCGATCAATTACAGTCTTCTTATGCTGTCTACTTGAATGTAGGGTATCTGATAAACTACCGTCGGCATAAATATGCACCAGACTGAATCCTGTTTCATCAACATTACTGACCGGTTCATTAAATTGCTTTGTGAGGTCAACAACTATGGAGTTTTTGCGGCTCTTTAATGGCAAATTTATCACATAGTTTGCAACAAAATTATCTTTATCAAAAAGTGTCTTTTCTCTGACCATACTGCTACATACTTTGCTAGGGTAGAATTCTCTGAGAAAACTCCCGTTGTCACTCTGTGTATCATCGTCGAGACTTTTTACTTCTAACTGATCAGAGCAAATTGATATTGCATCTTGACTATCTTGTTGTTTACAAAGATCATCTGAGGACATATCTTTTTTACATTCTAAATTCGGAACTATCCCATGAAGCATAAGAGATTTCTCGTTACCCACGGTTTCATTCGTGTGTTTTGGCACGTGATGCAACCGGCTTAATTCATATGTTCGTAGCTCTGACATGCATCTATTGTTTTCGTCAAAACTGTCATGATTGGTGAATTCCATAAAGGATGGCAAACTCTTCGACCGTCTTAATGGCATTGCCAATATTTCATGCCTAGCGGTTTTTAAAATTTCTCTATCATTATTCTTGCTTTCACTACGCTCAAGCAAATCTTCATCCATGGTTTCATTTATCTGTGGCATACGATCTATTTGTAAACTATTATTCTTGCCCGAAGACACTGCTTGATAACAGTCATTTGTTGGTGCATCTTCTGTGCTTTTTTCCACGCCTACAT